TTAGAGTAGTACAGCAGTGGAAGCAATGACCTAGGGAGCTGGTGCCCAACCTGGTGACTTTCCAGATGTTTTGGACTACAGCTTCTGGGATTTCTGTCAGTGGGAAATGCTAGCTAGGACTGATGGGAGATGTAGTAAAAAATAGCAGGAAGTCACCAGGTTGGGGGAGACTGGCTTGCATTGCTGGGTGTGTTGATTTGCCATCCTGGTGGTAAATACTGGTACTTGGAACAACCCCCATGAAAATATGAAAACTATATAATTATGGAATAAAACCAGTCACCAACCCAATCACCCACTTACAGGCCAAAGGCCTTTTTGAATAAAGTGATGTTTATTCATTCATTGATTTATTAGATTTATAGCCAAATTTTCTTTTTTAAAGAACTCATATTGCTACCTTTGAGGGGTGAGCTGAACATGAAAAGCAGATCTTTTGCGTGCACATGAGGCAGTGCAGTGTAGTGGTTATTGCTGTTGCAGGGGCCAAGGTAATCTGGATGCAGAATGACTGGAAGACCTTGTTTTTATTTATTTATCTATTTATTAGATGTATATCCTGGCCTTTAATTCTTTAAAGAACTCAGAGCAGCTTCAATCATTCTCCCCGTCCCACTCCCCACAACAACAGCTCTATGGGGCGAGTTGGCCTGCGAGTCTGTCAGTGGCCCAGTCACCCAGTGGCTCCATGGCTGAGCGGGGACTCGAACCCGGACCTCTCGAGTCCCAGTCCTGTGCTCTTCACAGCTGCACCGCACTGGCTTTCTGCCTGCAAGGAGGAGGACAGCAGAGAAGGGAGCAAAGCAAGCCTCCTTTAGGAGGGTGTCCCACAGCCTGGGAGCAGCCACCAAAAAGTCCCCATCTCACCTCACCACCAGCCTCAAAAAACGGCCTCGCCAGACAGCCTTAAGGACAGGGCCAGAAGAAGGAACTCTTTCAGGCAGCCTGTCCAGCCAAACTATATGGTGCTTCATCGGACATGACTAGCGCTGTGAACTCTGTCCAGAAGGAGAGAAGCAGCCAGAGAAGCTACTTAACAAAGGAGCCCCTTAAAGGAGAACCACTGAAATCAGTGGGACTTAACATGAGCCATTAGGTCAGCGGCACTGCCCCAGCAGTGTTGTGGCAAAGCTCTGCAGAATCCGTCCCTCTTGCATTTCTGGCTTCCTGGCTAAGAAAGTGAGCCGGGCTGAGCCCCGCTGTGGGGCAGGCTGAGGCAGCACGCGGAGCCCCAGTTGCGCCAGCAGCAACCTTCTCCTGCATCGCGTGCACCACAAACAAGCTGCCGCACATGACGCAGAAGAGGGACAGCACTCGTGTTGCACAGAGCTTGATTCCTGGTGTGTGCCGTGCAGAGTCTGGGTGTGCTCACTGGGAACGCAGACTCAGGGCTGTGACAGAGAGACTGGACGCCGAGGAGCTGAGACAGGGAGTGCCAGATTCCCACCCACGGTATGGATGGGAATCTGTAGTGACAAGTACAAGAACATGAGCCAGCAGTGTGACTTGTAGGTTAAGAAGGCAAACACCACCCTTGGATGTATAGCCAGAAGCGTGGCTTCCAGATCTAGGGAGCTGTTCTACACGATTCTGGTGTGCCCACAACTGGAGTACTGCATTCAGTTCTGGGCTCCACATTAGAGGAGAGACATAGCTGGGTTAGAATCGGTTCAGCGCAGGGTCACAAGAAAGGTGGCCGGGTTGGGAGGGATGACGTATGAGGAGAGATTGAGGGAACTGGGACTTTTCAGCCTGGAGAAGAGGAGACTCCGAGGAGATCTTTTCAAATCTTATAGGTATGTGAGGGGATGTCATGTGGGAGAGGGCCGTGAGCTGTTCTTCCCAGCAGTGGAGCGCAGGGCAAAACTCAAGGAGCCAGGCTTCAGGTTGGATGTCAGGAAGTACTTCCTGATGGTTAGGCCCCCTAGGATATTGAATGGGCTTCCAAGGGAGATGGTTGAAGCCCCATCAGTGAGGGTGTTCAAGGACATTTTGAACACCAACGTGATTGCATGAGCAGAGCCGGCTGGAGCCAGGGGTCAGACTAGATGGGCTAGGAGGCCCTTCTGACTTGCTTTGTTTCCGTGTTTCTTAGTATGACTAAATGGTGATCCAACCCATGCTCTGCCCCATGATGTAGAACTCTTAAAGGACAAGAAGTAAGTTGACCACTTTCAGATCAGAGGAGTAGATCAGACCAGAGGAAGAGAGAAGGCTGCAATGTGATTATCACTTTTCCCTGATCTCTCATCACAAATTAAAGAGAAGGGAAGGCGTTCCCTTCGTATTTCTCCAACCACTGATGAAAGGCAAGGGAAACAAAGCGCCCTGGCGGGGTGGCCACAGCTTTGTCTGGTGGGCCACCAGAAATGTCTCCATTGTCAAGCTGTCAACTGCTGGGTGAAGGCATGAATGGAAGGGCCTTCGAGCTTCTGTAGGTTCCTCCTCGGAGCTGGGATCCCTGCACCAGGAGAACCCCTGAAGGTCACTGGGAGCCCACAGATGGTTGTGGGTCTTGGAAGAGAGCAGGGTGGGGCTGGAGGGGCACTGCAGTGACCCTGGGGCTGTGCTAAGAGGCATGGTCCTCCTCCCCTCCACTTTTCAGCCCCCCCGTGTGGCAGTTTAGCTATTGTCTTGGGCTATTTTCTTAGGAGCATCCTTAATGAAATGTACTGCTGATTGGAGCCTGTTACATATTGATTGGAGGCTTTGTACTTGTGAAAAAGAGCTGAAAACGGCAGTCTCTTCAAGGGCAGAATTTATGGGGTTTCTTGACATTATCATTATCTTTTTACCCTAGTCTTGCAAAGGAGAATTGGTCTTAGAATACAAATAGCATGTAACTAATGTGACACTGTCTCTAATAAAATGTCTGAAATGGACTTTGGTTAAAAGTAATTGGATTCTGTAATAGCTCTTATCATGTTAATGTTGTTTGCACTGTTCTACTTAAGACCATTAATTTTGCTCTCATATACCCCAATTTTCAAGGGTGCTTGTGACTATTAGGTAAACATTTGTTTCTGACGGAATCCACAATGACTTGGGCAAGAGTTTTCCCATTAGTATCAATCTTACACCCACACAAATTTCTCACTGAAATTTATTTTTTTAAAGATGCAACAGTAAGCAAGTGTGTTGAGAGAGTTGGGTGGTTTCCTCTCTAATTAGATTGTTCATTGGATGGTTAATACTGTGTGGAGATGCACACTGCTGCACTGGTGCTCCCAAATGGATCTGTGGAGAAATTCTGACTTTTTCTACTTTTTGGTGGCCTCTCTGGGCAGATTTGATCAGATGCTATTTTTCTTACTCGCTTGTTCAGGAGAAACGTGAACTGGATGGACCAAAGTAAGTGCCTTTAGGAAAGCTGCTGCTGAATTCAGGCTCTGCTTTTGCTGCACAGATAAATAATGATGTACTTTCCAAAGATAAAAAGCTGAATGGGATGGCTCCTGGCCAGCAGGTAGAGATTTTGCTTTACTGGACAGTCTTCCTTACCCATTTCTATAAATAGGACGGGATGGGATGGAACATTCTAGCCAGTATTTGTCCTGATGCTTCTGCTCCAAGCTGTGATTAAAGTGAGGTGCTGAGGGCACAATCCAGGCTTGTTTTGACAGAAAGCAGCCTGCAACTCCCAGCATTCCCCTACAGCTAGAGCGCTGGGGCACAGCGTGCTGGAGAATGCTGGCATTGTGGGGATTGGCTACCCAAACATGCCCCAGATTGCTCCCTGAGCTGCTTTTGAAGTTGTGCTGTTATGCATGTTTTATTTTATCATTACATTATGTCAAACCATTCTTGTCAGTTCTATGTAAAAATGTATGTGATGGTGATGATAACAACTGCTAATAATCCTGGATTTCCCATCACCCTGAGAGTCACTGCTGCACAGTTTATGCATTAAAGCAAACCTGCAAGCACATTGGTAAGGAAAGATTTACCTTTTCTGAAGGTTAGCATGCACTCTAAAGCACAAGGAGGGCCTGATGAAAAAGGAGAACTTAGCAGAAAGAATGGATGCTTGCAACGACTTTGTATCTTCTTATTGTTATTATTTTAAAGAAACAAAGGTATCATGAAATCGTCATTTTAATTGTTAACAATATTTACTTATTTATCTGGCCAGGGCGACTTCTTTTCTTTTCTTTTATAACTTTTCTTTTATATAGTGTTTGTGTGTGTGTGTGTGTGTGTGTGTATTATTTTTTATATTATTAATTTTAATTTTATATTGTTATTTTTGTATTGTATTGTATTGTATTGTGTTGTAAGCTGCCCCGAGGCTTCGGCAAGGGGCGGCATAGAAATGTTCTAATAATAATAATGATGATGATGATGATGATGATGATGATGAAATGGAATTCATGGAGCAATGGTAAAAGGGGTTTCTGTGACTTGAAATTCAGGTTTCTTGAGTTCCACAAGGTTGGCCCTTGCTGGACCGAAGATCTTGCAAAGAGAATCCTGGACACAAACTGAGTAGGAGGGAAGTCTGCTGGTGAAACGGGGATGAAAAAGCCATCTATACAATTTGAGAGACCAGACACAACTTGCTGAGACTTAGCAAAAACTCACAGGCTCAGTGGCTTCTCCTCACCCCAAATGCTCCATGGACCAAGGCTGTGTCAGGATGCAGTCTTGCCCCAAGGCTCTCCAGGGAAGATGAAATGGAGACCAGAATCAGTGAGGAGCTGAAGTGGGTGGGAGCCCTGGTGGGCTTTACCCCCCTGACCACAAAATTCTGTGAGCAGGGGAGTATAAAGGGAAGGGCATATTCTCTTCGCCCAGACCAAGAGGATCTGCAGGGATTTAGCACTAAGTGTATTTCAGGTTTATTTAGTTATGTGTTTATTTCACATGGGAAGACACCTTTGAAGACAAACAAGCAAGCACACAAATTTGCTTCTGAATTTCCCATCCATCCACACAGTGGGTATTTAAAAAATTTCTACCCAATTTTGACTTTTGCTGAACACGTGCTTTCCTTTTTTCAGGTTTACGGGAACAAATCTTCCTGCCCCTGTAATCAGCAGCAAAAACTGGCTTCGCCTTCATTTTATGTCAGACGGCAACCACAGGCAAAAGGGCTTCAGCGCACAATATCAAGGTATTTGAGCTCCTCTGTTTTGCCCCACTGAGCACTTCAGTCCTTCCAAATTCTGACTTAGCTAGCAAAGTCACTAAACATAACTTCAGAAATGTAATATGCTTCATTTGCTGAAGTTTTCCATCACTTCTATTTTGTTTTGAGATTCCCAAAGGCATAACATTTGAGAAGTACACTGAGTTAATTCACAACTCCAATATTCAGAAAGAAATTTGGGCAAGGAGAATTTCAGAAGTAATTTGAAATGCATTTAGAGTTGACTGAATCTGTTTATTTCGGATCTGTATCGCTTTTGCATATGTTCACCCACAGGCAGCTGGGAAAGCTGTAGTGTGATGGAGAGATACAGAATAGAAGAAAGCATGGAGGAAGCACCTTGGCTACCTCATAATGCTACAGTGAACTCAAAACTGCCAGCAAAGACACACACACACACACAGAGAGAAAGAGAGGGAGGGAGGGAGGGAGGGAGAGAATTGTATTCTAAAGTGCTCTGAGAATGAGGCAGAAAAATGGAAGCCTCTTTTGAAAGGGAAGAAAACTTCTGGGAAAATGGAGGATGGATTTTGGTACAGTACTAGTGTTACTGTCCCTGCTGACTACTCCAATCCCACCATCCTTGAGCATCAGCAACCCCATAAACATTGCTAGTATGAAGCCCCCTCCTCAAATGTAGAACAATATGTTGCTTTCTTTTTGCTGGACTGCACCCCACATCAGTCAGCATACATGTTTTCCCCTGCGGAGGGCAGGGCATGTTCCAGCGGAGCACAGCTCAGGGAGCCCAGGTTCCATTTGGATGCCAGGAAGCACTTCCTGACCGTCAGGACCCCGAGGGTGTGGAATGGGCTTCCACGGGAGGTCGTTGAGGCCCCATCGGTGTGGGTGTTCAAGGACTGACTGGACATGCACATGGCAGGCATGTCGTGAGCAGAGCCACCTGGAGCTGAGGTCAGACTAGATGGCCCGGAGGACCTCTTCTGACTCACTATGCTTCTATGTTGCACACATGTTGCCTGTAGGAAAAGGAATTTGGTGCATTCATTCAAACAGGTTTCCACCATCCCAGCTACTACTACCAATGTGCAGGGAAGAAACTCAGATTGTGAACTTCAGGATTTTTTTTCCTTCCTCCCCAGTACTTACGCCATTTAGGCTTCAATCCAATGGAGATGCTCCTAAGACTCCAAAGTCAGAGGTTTATGGGCATCCTATGCAGGGTAGGAGGGATGTGGAGGTGGCCTTGGCCTCCTCATGCTCCCTGCCTTGAAGGAAAGATCGGTGGCTGATTTGGGCTGCCTGGTTATGGCGCTCCCCTCCCTGCTCCCCTGCTCTTCTGCCCTGGCAGCAAGGGGAAGGGGGGGATCCAAGCATAAATCCCCCTTTGAAGTAAGATCTCTTTTCTGAGCTTAGACCTGGGAATCTGAAGAATTCTGCACCTCCAGGACATCACTCCAGGGCCACAGCATTGCACAGCCCATTGATTTTGTTTTTCGATTGACTCAGTGGTTGCTAAGTTTAAAAAAAGGAAGGGAACATCACAGTCATGATTGCTGAGTTGCTATTAAAAATAGATACATCTGCCTGCATCATGCCATTTTACAAAACCATCAGGGAAAGATTAATGTTATAATTTCCTCTCTGATTAAGGCAAATGTCAGGGGCTTTTAATCCTGTGAGCTCTGTAAAAACCCATTTTTCCAGGCATAATAGGTTGAGCATTTACATGTTGAGTGCTCTAAAAGATAAGTTTCCAAGAAGTGAGTCCTGATTTGCCAGGGGACATCAGGGGCTCTGAGCTAATTTCTTATGTTAACTTTTAAGGGCATTGGGTGGAGAGACAGCAGAGGATGCTGACTAAAGGCAAAAGAGTGACCATCAAATTAGACAAAGCCCAGGAGTTAGTTAAACATGAACAACCTCCTGAACAACATCCAAAGGAAGGTTCATTTTGGAGATGGTGATCATGTGCAGAGGGGTCCTTTCCTCTTACTGCCTGTCTGCTCAGAATCCGTTTTCAAAGCTCCACTTTTTCTAGGAGGAGAAAGTTCCTGACATTCTGTATTTCTCCCCTTCCTGTATGTGTCTGTGAGAGAGACAGCGAGGAGAGGGAGCGGGAGGAGGAGGAAAGGGGTTAAGGTAGTCCTTTGACCATCCTTCAACCTTAACCATCACACACTAAAAGCAGAACCACAACTGAATTCCTGCAGACATCTAGTGCTTTCATTCAGCACTGTATGATTTCTTGCAATACTCAAACTCATACAAACAGTTTCATTCACAACACGTGACAACACGAACCTAACTGTGCCCCTGCACGCGTTTCAGCTGGTGGCATGCAAAAATGGCCTCTTGAAATTCTCCAACCTATCTCCGGGCAAACAAATGCAGGGGGGCGATTTAGCTGAATTTCTCTAGGGGGAAAGAGCAGGTTCCCCCAGGTAGAGCAAGCTTTGTCTGCACCTGCAACAAGCAGGGTTGTGTCCAGTTCCAAGGAAGAGGTGCATCCCACGTAGTGTCTAAAAGCTTCTGTGCACGAGGCATGGATTGCACACTTAGGGTTCAAGGCCACTTGCATCGGCTTATGAGACACTGGCAGTACTGGTGGTCTCTCCTGTGTCGTGCAGCCTTCTTTGCACTGCTTTGAGGACACGAATGATCAGCTCCCATTGAGCTGTCATGCTGAAATAAGCCGGCATAGTTTGGGCAATTGAGCTATAGTGCAACTGCACTGTGTGGCTGTTGAAGGCAGAGAAGGAAAAGCACCAGGAACGAAGTGTAAAGGACAGGCTCTTCCCTCTGTGTAGCAAATAGAAGGAGGAACCTCAGTGAAGCACCAAGTCAGAGAAGCCCTTAATCTGTCCTCCAAATCCCCAAGAGCTTTTCCCTCCTCTGTTCCTTCCTCCAGAGGCTTCCAAGGTTCTGCCTCTTTTGGTGAGCCTGTTATAGCAGTTGTGCTGCTGTACGCGCTGACTCCGGCATGCGAGGCGGCTCTGCGTGCTGCATCTGCCTCTCTCCATTGCTGAGCAGCCGGTGGGCCTGTCTGGGTCTCCGAAGTCGCCTATGGGGAGAATGACCTGCCGCTGTCTTCTCCTGGGCCTGAACTGCAGTGCAGGAAGCCAAGAAGGCTTCTGGAGAGACTATGAAAGACTCTCACACTAAGAAGAGTAGGCCCAAGAAACCAAGGCAGCCAAACGTATCCCATGAGACTTCCTCCAACATTTTTGTCTTCCTTGCCACCGCCACCGCCTGGACACTGCATTTGCAGCCCAGCTTTCTTTCCTCATGTGAGGAAGCTAAGCTGGCTCCTATGGCTCCATTTTATCTGCACCACAACAACCCTGTGAGGTAGGTTGGGCTGAGAGTCCGTCCCAGCTGGCTCCATGGCTGAGCAGGGACTAGAACCTGGCTCTCCCTGTCTCCAGTCCAACACTCTCCCCACCACCCCACCCTGGGTCCCACTCCCTTTCAGAAGCAAAGCCCTTTCTATTGAATTGAATGAGAATGTTTGCAAGAAATGTGGGAGGAAGTTTCAACACAGAACTGATTTCAGTCCTTAATGTCCTTAATAGACATTAAAGAATGGTGTCTTAATATACTGTGGAATGATGCCTTCACTCAAATGTTTTGCCTTTGGCCTTTTCGTTATTATGGGCGAGCCATTCGGGGAGAATTGTGCCCCGGATTGGTGCAGCTCAGAAATAATTCTGTTTCCTGCTGTTTTGAACACACTGGGGGTGATTTCTTGCACTGGGGTTGGGCTGTTAATGAGTAGCGAAGAAGGACAAATGGGGGAGAATTCTGCTAATGCATCACTCCTATTGGATGCGGAACTGATGGACCATGAGCACAGCTCTCCCGACTGGACTTGTAAGCCAGAGGTCTGCTTTGCCAGCAACCCTGATCTCCATTCTCTTAATTCCCTTTTCAGTCAAAAAGCAAATGGAAATGAAGTCCCGGGGAGTGAAATTGATGCCAAGTAAAGACACTAACCAGAAGACATCTGTGTGTAAGTTTCACCCACCATTGCACGCTCAGTGAGACCTCCGTGCCTTGAGCATCCCACATGACTTTACGGCCAAATCGAGGCTGTTGTCACTCTTGTTTCCGATTCTGAATGCTTGTTATCCCCACGTCCTGCCTTGCATTATCGCCTCAAGTACTTCTTCCAGGGCTCCGTTTGCAAACACGTGCTAACTCTGTAAGGACGGCGGTGGGGTGAAGCAGACGGTAGGAAGAACTGTGCCCTGTATGTGCTGTTAGCAGTTCTTCACAGGGCCCCAGGGGCCTGGGTATTTCTGTTTTTTTGTCACAAGCTGTATAGAGCCATCAAGATGCAGAGACACTTTTGACAACCAAATACATCTGTCTAGCAAAAAAGTTAGAGGATTCAGATCAGTGACAAGCAACAAAGGAGCCGCAGAAACACTGCGATAATCTGAAATAAGATCTCTCCTCTCTCCCTTTTTCCTGGTTATTGTATTTCAGTGTGCCTATAAGCCAGAAATCTTCCTAAGGAAGAACTAGTAGCTTAAATAAAAGGACAATGAGGGCGCACACCAAATTGGTACATATTTTGGTAGTGCTGTTTGCCCTTTTGCTGATTTTAGCTTTTAAGAAGCAGCTGATCGAGACACCCCGGGTAAGGACCCCCCTCCTTGATTCCTGGGCTGCTCCTTTGTGACAGTTAAGCAACTCCTTTGGGCACACCTGTGTCACACCTGTATGAATGTCTGTGCCATGCTTTGTAAAACAGTGTCAGATTCATTCTGTGGTTAGATACATGATAACAAAGTGACGAGCTCCTTGGGTGAACAGTCCAACTGTAGAATTGTGCAGGTTATGATGGAACAGGAATCGATCTGGGTTTTTGTATCAGGATGTGGCAAAGCCATTTCAAGTCCCAGGGAGCTGTATAGTGTGCAGCAGATTGGAGTGACGTTATCTTGTGGCATTTTTTCCCATAAATACCTGTTGTCACTGTCTCGCTGTTAGATCTTAAGGCTGGAAGGAAGCTTTATGTGGTGTAAGAGGCTTGTAAAATATGGACAACTTGGAAATAGCATTGAGCATCCAATTCAGAGGGAGACTAGGGTGGTGTGAGAACTTTGTTTGGTTTGCATTTCAATGTGAATTTCAAGACTTGTAGAACAATAACTTGAACACAAACAAAAATGTGTCATTTGAAAAAGGGAATACCAAGATGCATGCACTGGGGAAAATGTGGACCAAATACTTGCTTTTAAAAATGTGTACAAAATTATGCACACAGCAGACTAAGAAGTTGTTGAACCAATGTGAAAATAGGGCAGAATGAGTTTCTCACTGGGGGATTGAAAACCTGAGTGAAGCAGCGATTCATGGATACAGTCCTCTCTAAGAGAGACCCAGAAGGAAATGACGTTCTGAATGGTTTTTTCAAATGTTCTTTTCCTGTGTTGTGCAGCTCAGTTGTGCTAGTAGATGGAGTACAGGTAAAACTGAATTTGGAACTCCGTGAGCTTCACAATGAACACAGTCAAAGAGCTTGAGGGGCATTCTCAAGGTGAAGGGACCTTACCCAACCCAGATGTTTCCTCTGATTTTTCTTCTGGAGCAGGTCAATGCATTTGGTTGGGGGCCATGCCACGAACCACCCAGCACATTGGTTTTCTGGTGGCTTGTGAAGAGTTCCCTCTTCTCATATGCTTTTTCTGTGGGATGATTGATGAGCGAAATGCTGGTTGAGATAAGCTACATTTCGGGCTCAATGTGGTGTAGGAGGACAGCCTGCTTTTTGCTTCAACTTGGGTTTCTCCCAAGCAAAATCAGGGCTTATGTGTAAGAAAGGGGCAGTGTTCCCATTGCACACGGTGAATGCACTTCATTGCTTACTGCCTCAGCAAAAGGGGGGAAACAGTGATTAAAATCAATAGCTGCGTTCCTCTTAACAGGATGCAAGACTGAAGATTTTTGTTGACCAATCTGCACAAAAGGAGCTCTCCTAGTTTTGTAAATTCAATGATTGCCTCCTTTGCATTCTCTGGGTGTTAAGTGGGCTTTTCTCGGGACATGAGGAAAGTTGAGCACGAAAAGTAGTAGTACTTCCTGACCCTCCCAGACCTGGTTGGAGTTTTTCTATGGGTGCAGCATTCTTGAGCCAGGGTGCAAAATGCCCACCAGTCTCTCACCAAAGCAACATTAAAGTGGATGTCCAGCACCCCCGAATGCTTCTTGCAGAGCTGGAGATGCAAAGTATGAGCCTGCTTTGCCTTCGTGGTCTGCGGGGACACTTCTGCATTCTCGGAGCCCATTTGGTACCCTCTTCTCTATTTCCTTCGGCCTCGTTCATTCACAGTTGTTGCTGTGATCCGTACAACAGTGGTTTGGGCTTCTAGCATCCCATAAGCTGGCTCCTTCTTGAAATGTCTGCCCCTGAAGAAGAACCTCCCAAGAGAAGAGGTAGCAACTTGGTCCTAACCGCTTTGGCCATTCCTGGGCATAGAGAAAGTTGTGGGGTATTCCTTTGGCCCTGTTGCAGGACACATCCAGTGCTTATATACCACCTCCCTGAGGATGAAGTGTTGAAACAAGATGCTGAATCCTCAACCAAACTCCTTCATTGTGCAGTGGTAAGCAAATTTGCAGATGTCTTCTTCGTGGCGAAGGAGTGCACTCCGTTTATGAGTATAGGATGTTGATGCACCCACCTCCTTGAGAGGACCATACCTTGCAGCAAAGCATGTGGACCTTCCTTGTGGCCTTCCTTCCTTGTTTCCTTGGCGATTAAGATCGCTGCCGTTCAGGGAATAGCCTCTGGAAGGACTTAGCCATAGGACGTCTAGCAACTTTTAAGCCACCTTCATCTCAAAGAGTCTGCTGTTGCAGAGCATGGAGACCTGGTCCTCACCACTTCTGCGATTCATGGACTGAGAAAGTTGTTGGGTGCTTTGCCTCTGACTGAGGTGAATCTTACAAAAGCAGGCAGTCCATGATTGCTTGAAGGCCACCTCTCATTCTGCTGTGCTGGTTCACAAATTCGGGGACTGATGGGGAAAACAGAACGAACAAGCTCCAGCTCAAAGTAAACTCTGAACCCAGAGACTGGTGAAAAAGGGACCTCCGCTGTGACCTGTAAGGTAGATTACCGGAGGCTACGCAACTTATTGTCCGCACTGATGATGAACTCTTAGAGTGCCCCCACCACCACTTTTGGAGTTTTGCAGAGGAGTTTTGCAAAGGCCTTTCTGCTTTATTAGACCTGTGAGAATTCATATCACAGCTGGCAGAAATATGCAAAGATCCGGTTTTCCTTCTTCATGCAAGGAAGTGCTGGCTAAACGTTGCATGCATTCAGAACTTAGCAAAACTCTGTATTCGGTTCAATGATCTTGTTTATTTTTCAAGAGTTTTTAAAATTCAACTTTAAAAATATATGTAAAGCAAAAAAATTGTCCTGATTTTGAATGAATTATAAAGCAATAATTTTAAGCACTGGCTTCCCAAATCCAGTCCTTTTACAGCTTTCCAAGAGACTTCTATATCCAGTACTTGAGGGTATTTAAAAACAAATAGCTAAGAACCAATTTTAATGGAAATGGGGGATACACATCTAATAAGTACAGAAGTAAATAAGTGGAAATGTTCTGCTACTAAATTCAAATTAGGAGACATGTCCTTGACACAGCCCCACACCTCTGTCCTAAAAGCTATGCACCAACCAACTGCCATGGTGGCTTTAAAGCTGAAGTAGTCTGTGCCGGCATATTGTGCCATGGCTGAAAGCATGATGTGTTCAAACATAAGTGTGAATCAGTCTATCCCCAGCAAGATATTTTTGAAACTAAGGAAAGAAGTTGATGATACCACTTTTACATGCCCACTCCTGAGCTCCCAGACATCCTGTGAGCCTGTGGGATGCCAAACAATGCTCCAGTTCACACATGACAACGCGTCATGTTTTGTCTGATTCATGCAGGTCAGGGTCAGCCTTAATTTGCAGGCAGGTGGAAGAAATGCAAAATTTCTGGCAAAGTTTGGAACAAGTCACAGCTTGTCGTTTCATCTGAATATGGCAAATTGGGTTTTGTACAAACCATGGGTAGTTAATAAATGGGGATATCAAATCCTGCTTTGATGTTGGTTTGACCTTGGTCTGTTAGCTAACTGTGGTTTGTAGTCAGATAGAACAGGAAACTGCATATTACTACAGATTGTAAAGAAGAGCAGTGTATTCCTTTACCAGGTGCACAAAAAGGGGAAGGAAAGCATGCAACTCTGAGACTCGAGCCGGCAGTTTCAAGAAGCAGAGTTGGCTTTGGCAGGATCTGTATGAGCTTCCTCAGAAGGCAGATGCTATGTAGCATCTTCAGCTGAGCCCTGAGATTCTCAGATGATTGTTAGAACCCTGGCCCTTGGGGGACATTTCACCCAATGTGAGGATGTGCGCTCTTCCTTGGAAGTAGCGCATGACCTTGGATGATGGCTTTCACCTTCTCCAGTTAAGACCTCTAGGAAAGAGCTCCTGTTGCTTTGGGCACTGGGTGGCCCCATTCAGATGCTTTGCTGGGAAGGCCTGCTTTGTTTTGCTCCTCAGACTGGTTTTCAGAAGGTCCCACTCAGACATCAGGGACCAAGAGACTTTCTGGGCATATGATCCTGTCTCCATGCCTCAGTCAGCTGGGGGTGAGCATTGGGTCGCCACTAAGGGTGTGTCCAAACTGCCACCTCCACTTTTGTAGGGTGTTGTGACCCCTAGAAAAGTGCATGTGGGGACCTGTGTGGGAGAATGTGCGCAGGGGCAGGATTTGTCTTCCCTTTGGTACATGAAGTGGTAGGTAGTATTGGCTCAATTGTTTTGTTTTACTTGGAAAAATGGTTGGCTGTGGCAGTCAAGGGTCTCCCCATAGCCTCTGGCCGTGTTGTGTTTGGTGCACCAGAAAGCCTCCCAGCCTCCTACAGCCCGGCACCTTGCACATGCATGGGTGGGAGTGCAACTCCCAGTCTCCCCAGCCAGGGTGTGTGGCAGTG